GCTGGTGTTCCCATCTTTAAAATGTTTCACCCCTCTTCGAACACTGCTCGCACCCATGCACACACTTCCATAAGCACGCTGAAGTCTCTGGTGAATTTCTGCAGCAGGGATTTCCTCTTTCACAAGAAATTCGATGACAGCACGCTGGCGAAACAACATATCGTTGTCGGCCATTTTGTTAGGAGTAATACTGGTCACGTGATGCAAGCTATTTACGTCACAAGACACTCAAGGTTAACACAACAGCTGGTTCCACCTACCACCATACTCTCTTTTGTCTGCTGTTCCCAGGTTGCATGCAAAAAAAAAAGTTGCTCATGACTTCCAGTACGACATACGTAAGTATTTTTAGAATTTTAATTATACTGTATCTGTAACATTTGGTACTATTTAAATTACAATTATGTTCATCTGGGATGTGATACCATGTAAATGGGTACATGAAGGCAGCAGTTTCCTCTGAATTGGGTAAACCCTGAAGATGGAGGCAGGAGCTCCATCCAAACCTAGTAGATATTGGAAATGGACACAGCAGGTTCCTCTGAAATGTTACCTACCTACCAAGCTATTTGGTAACCCCTCCTGTAAAACCTTAATTTTAATATTCCTCACCACAAGAACCTCACATCTCACATTTTATATTGTTCACCATCATTTTAAATTCCATAAAGTTCCCAGGTGTCTTCACTTCTACTTGTTGTTTAACCATGACATTAAACACACTGTTTGCTTACCTTCATTTCCTGAAACACATTTATTTAGTAGTAGGAAATAAAATACAATGTACACTCATTAAAAAAACATGGAGAAAAAGATATACAAGATAGACCTCAGTCTCCAATAAAGTTTCTTCACAGAATCAGTTCCATTCAGTATAGACATTCATTCATCTAATGAAATCACTAATTACAACCAATTTTCTATTATGCTCTTCATTCATTTCAAATAAATAATAATGTTAGAAAAAATTTCAAACAATGCATTGCCTACCAATTCCAACAATTCTCTACAGCAAAATGAAATATCCCTCAANTCATTCATCTTCCTTTATTTTAGTGCACAGTACTGTATAATGGTATTAGATTCAATTATTTTCGTGTTACGGCATTAGGATATTAGTGTGGTTAAAATTACAGTGTAGGTGTATTTCAGTGTATAAATCTACAATAGAACAGTTTCAACTATAATAGGCTATGTACCGTACTTCAGAAGCTTTATAATGAAGAACCATTGGCCTGCATCACAAAAGGTAAGCTTAAGTAGCGTTTTATGGTGTAAAAAATTAACGATGTTAAATTTATACCGGTATATCTGGCTTGTATATGTGTACTTCGGTTTATCCGATGTTTTTGATTATCCGCGCCAAGTCTCCCCGCCATTACCGCGGATAATCGAGAGTCTACTGTATACATATATNTTTTTTTTTCCATAACACAAGGGCATCTATGGAACTGCAACACCTGGAAATTACTTGGAATTATCTGAATATCTGCACAACTTCTTTCAGAGATATTTTTGATGAATCCAGTTTATGGTGGAATACCAACTTGCATCACAATGGTATCAGAGCAAGTCAGATAAGATACTCTGTGAATCAAAAGAAATTACTAGCAGCAGGAAAGGAGCTTGCTGGTAAAATTTGGTCAAGCACCTCCAAGGTGTTGCTACTATCATTCTTCTGTTAAAAAGCTTTGGGGTACAATCAGTTTTTATTCATTTTCCTTCCCCTTCATATTGCCTTAACAGTGGACAGAAAAGCAAATATACATATGGACTGCTCCCTTTTAAACACAAAGCTGACAAGTCAGACCCATAGAACTCTACCTTATGGAAAGACTTTCAAGCCAACTATCCCATATGATGATGGTGCAAGAGTAGGAGAGTTTATAGAAAAATAAACAGCATTTCAAAAAGTTTGGTTATATCTCAACAGACATTTCTGATACAGAAATTCTTAGTCATTTCTCCCACCAAAGACATTTTTACACAGAATACTCATTCTAGAAATAACAAGGTCCAAACTTTGTCTCCTTTCCTTACAAGGAAACAGTTATGAAAAATACTGTGACTTTCAACACAGCACACATACAGCAACAGAAAAATGGCTGGCTTTTAAGTTTACCACAAGATAGAGCTCAGTAAAATTTAATTCTCCCAGTTTCTTTGTAGCAATTTGGTTACAATCTGACCAAATGTTATCATACATCACTTCAGTCATGATGGGTAATTTCCAGCAGGGAGTTACGAGCACACAGACAGACAGGCACTCAGTCACTCAACAACAATTTGACAGTGAGAAGATTTATGATCAGCCACATTTGTTCTGCTGCTAAAGACAACAGCAAAATTATCAAGACAAGCAACGACCTGAGTTAAGATCACCTAAAAGATGGACATAATAGTCATCCATTGCTCTATGTTATCATTATCCGAGTCCACTGTTCTTGTCGGTAATCCCCATTACTTCTTGGCCACTCATTCCAACGCATTTACATGGCTGAATGTTTCAATTCTGCTTTCAGTGGTTAACATGTGTCGATTATGATACACTTTGTACAGCTCAGGCAACAAGAGAAGCAACATCATTTTGACTGCAATTCTGTACTTACACTTTCTTTGACTTTTCAAGACGAAAATAGTCCTTCACACCACTTGACTATGAGACACATTTTTTTTACTTCCTCTGATATACATCCTTCTCTTATGTAGAAATCACAAAGAGAATCTTATGATGCTTTGAGAATTATGTAGCAGAAGTCTCACATATTTATCCACAGAACTTCTTGCTGAGAAAAAATCTTATTGAGTTCAGAAATTTAATCACATTACCATGTTTGATTTTAGTATACATTCTCATCGACCCATGTTCTATGTGTTCATCTATGATGTAACTGCCTATCTAAAATTTCAGTCAGCATTCACTTACTAATTCTTTTATGGTTCCTTCAGAATTTCAATATGATTTCATTAATACTCACCGAACAATGTTAATCAAACTCATACCTATAATCGGTACATACAAATTCCTTGAGTTATTATTAGGCTTGTAGCAAAGTAGAGTTTATTAACTCAACATGCACTTAACTTCACACTGTTTTGTTCATTCGTCATGAAGACCTCACTACAGTGTCAAGTCTGCCCGCTATTTGGGCTCACCTGAACTTCACTGCAGATCAATGTCCCCGACATGGGCAGAACTGTGCATGCTAGCGAAATAGTGATGATGTGAGGGCCACCTAGCTGGGGAAGGCCAACATCAGTTGCTAACACAGTTCTCTTTCCCATCAGAAATGTGATTGGATTCAGCAATGGGGGAGGGATGGCATGAAGTGGAGGGTGGGCAGAAGACTTGAGCATAGGGAAACCGGACGTGACAACGTGCCTCGTACTCTGCCACTTGTTCTGGACATGAACCAAATTCTTCGTTCCTCAGAGCTTGAAAAACTTTTGTACAGTTCTGTAAATAACCACAAATCCTCAATATTAGTATTAACATCTGACATTTGTCCACCTTAAAACAGGATAAAAACAGAACAAGCATGCAGAACTGACAACATCTTTATAATTGTTTGATATGTCATGTGACTTACATATTCCATAGCTGTACGTACATCATGAGGTTTCTTATTGTACAGTTTTCTGATGTGATGGTGTCTGCATCACACCAACCCCTAACATGGAGGAACAGGAACCATCTTTCATTTAACCCCTACCCTTTGCCCTGTCTAGAACCCTAACAGCAGCTTATGAGCCCCATTAGCATAGTTGTATGAGATATCCAGAATCCATAACCATAAGGAGGCCAAATAAAGTACATACCTGTAAATTGACTCCTTCAATATCTTTGTCCAAGGTAGTGGCCAGACTTATGGCAGTCTCCTGTTTTGATGGATCAAGATGATACATCATTCGAGCACCTAAAACATCGATTATATAATTTCTCATTATGTGACAAGAATTTCTTTAAGTTATTCATGTCAAACCGGGGCCATGTGGTAGCATAGTTCATTGAGGCACTATGCTACAAGCTGGAAGGTCGCAGGATCGAATCCCAATAAGATGCATTTTTTCAATTTACCTAATCTTTCCAGCTGCAATATGGCCCTGGGGTCGACTCAGCCTCTAACAGAACGAGTACCAGGAATATTCCTGGAGGTAAAGGGTGGCCTGCGTATAAGGCTGACAACCTTACTGCCATCTGTGAGCCAAGTATGTGGGAGCCTCAACATCTCACAACCCTATGGGCCTTCATGGCCCATTACAGAGATAGCCTTCCTTATATGCTTAAACCAATGCCTCTGAAACACTTCTTGGAGATGATGATCACAGATCTGGGGCCATATTCATACCAATTCAGTGAGTGGACATTAGTCATGTGGGATTACATGACAAGATGGATAACTCCTGAAACAGGTCATGGACTGATGGGGACTGTTATGAATTGAGAGAGATCTTGTGAAGATTACTGTCTTTGGGTATGTGGCACCATGTCATATGATAAGATACTTACTGACTTTTCAGAGTAACTACTACTGCCTCAGTCTTCATGGTAGAAGAGCAAACTGTGCGTAGGAAAATGGTACAGATGTAAGGAAAGGAGGGACTGGGACTGCAAACCAACAGAAGGGAAGAAAACTATGTAAAGAACATTGGACCTTTCACAGATTGTTTTCCAAAATCAGATAATAAGAAAAATGAGGATTCTGAGTGAACCAATGGGAGGCAAAAGGAATTCAGGAGAAAGTAAATACGAAAATAATGGCCACTTTTGAAGGGAAGTGGAGAAAAAATTTAGTTCTAAGAGTAGTTGATTCAGAGAGGTGGGAAGTGGGATAAAGAAACTAAAGCTTGCAGGGATCTCGTAATTTTCCCAATGCAACATACACGGGTGAAGGAGACAGCTATGAAGCCCAGTGTATTGTAGATGTTCCTATTAACTATACACTCACTTTCGAACAGAGCCTCGAGAGATTTTGAGTTTGCTGCTAGGAACTCTGCATTCATCTGATGTGCATCTCTTCCTCGAAAGATAGGTTCCATCTCCTGCTTGAGAACAGTTGCCACTGCTGCGTCCAGATTTCCCTGCCACCGAGTCAAGTAGCCATGGCACAGAATGAGACAAGAATGAAGCTTTGGGCTGTTTGGATCCAGGCGATGTGCCCTCTTAATTGACTGCAGCATGAGTAGGGGCTTCTCTGTTGCAAAAATACATACAAACACATGAACATGTTCAGTATATAGTGTGCTCAGAATTACTGGGTGGTATTTTATAAAAAGTAGAGAACACAATGTTTCAGGAAGGGGATCTGTTTCCATCCTCAGGTGAGGGGGACACACAATGGACGAAGTCCAAAAAAGCAGTAATTCTGAGCATTAAACACCATCATTAGAACCCTTTAAAATCTAAATATACAGTGTGTTAGGAAAGCAGGTAATTAGGAAAGGAACAATTTACATATATTTCTCGATCTGGGTTCTCATTGTGTTGTCTATGAAGAATATTATCTTCTGTCCTAACATGAAAGTATTTCAAAGTTTATGATAACTTTTCAAACTGCATGACTAGAAAGACTGAAAAAAGTAGATCTTCCATCAAAGCACACAAGTTATAGTGTGATGCAGTTTTAACACCAATGAGTCAATAAGTTTCCCTGGTGGGGGGATGTAATTGTATACCAGGTGTTTATGGGAAGTATTTGCCTATTTGTTATACAATAAACATCTAGAGAAATTTAAATGGGAAAAGAGGTGCGGATGTGGGTGTCCCATAGAAGCTTCTGACCATGGGAATTTGTGACAAAGGAGACTACGATAATGGAAGAATGCTGCATCAAACTTCATGTTTTGACTTAGAGAAATGGAAATTTATGTCTGTACAGTTTCTTACATTCATAAAATCCAACATGTTTAATTTCATGTAGGATCTGAGGTTCTCACAGCAGTGATTATGAAGAGTTCTATCTTCTGGGATATAGTGCTGTGTAGGATCTGAGGTTCTCACAGCGGTGGTTATGAAGAGTTCTATCTTCTGGGATATAGTGCTATGCAGGATCTGAAGTTCTCACAGCAGTGGTTATGAAGAGTTCTGTTTTCTGGGATATAGCGCTATGTAGAATCTGAGGTTCTCACAGCTGTGGTTATGAAGAGTTCTGTCTTCTGGGATAAAGCGCTATGTAGGATCTGAGGTTCTTACGGCGGTGGTTATGAGGAGTTCTATCTCTGTCTTCTGGGATATAGTGCTGTGTAGGATCTGAGGTTCTCACAGCAGTGGTTATGAAAATTTCTGTCTTCTGGGATACAGTGCTGTGTAGGATCTGAGGTTCTCACGGCGGTGATTATGAAGAGTTCTGTCTTTTGGGATATAGTGCTGTGTAGGATCTGAGGTTCTCACAGCGGTGGTTATGAAGAGTTCTGCCCTCTGGGATACAACACCATGGAGGTCTACTGAAAGGCAACCAATGCTGCCTCTGACTGCTACATGTTTCATGCTGGTTTCTTGCTTGGCTTCTTCTTCGACCCAGAAGATAGAGGTAACATGTTCTTTTGAAACGTCAATCAACTTTCAATGGACTACACACCATTATATCCCTAAGATAGAACTCTCCATGCTTAAGCTCAATTCTTTATGTGTATCCACATCTCAACATATACAGGGTGTTTCATGACTTTAAGGTATAACTGCAGGAGGTGATTTCCTAGGACTTTGTAATCAAAAAAGTTCATATAAACATGTGTCCAATTTTGGACGCTTACGGAGTTATGACCATTTTTTCATTCCCGTACACGCCTTCGTGTGAACCGCATCTGTCATCTGGTGGGTCGCTCTTTTTTGCCAGCTACAGACAGAGCGTCCTCGTTATCTCGACACTTGAGAGGTACCTAAGGCGTGGTGGGTTGGTATGTCCGGTGCGGTTCACAACCAAGTGGCAGCCTGTGTTGCAGCCGGCGGTGGCATTTTCGAAAATCAGCTTTAAGCACCAATAAATTCAAATTAAAGGTAATTTCACGAAGTTAACTTTACATTTATGCTTTAAATGTATCATGTATTATGCTGGTTTATTATTTTGTTCCGTTTATTGTCAGTAATCGTTACCTTCTATTCCGAGTTTAAAACGGTCATAACTCCGTAACCATTCAAAATCGGACACATGTTTATATGAACTTTTTTGATCACAAAGCCCTAGGAAATCACCTCCTGCAGTTATGCCCTAAAGTCGTGAAACGCCCTGTATTGTTACGAAAATTTTAAGCTTTTTAAAAAGGGTGTGGTCACTTCATTTCCAAGTACTGACAGCTCATGAATTCACTGTGATATCGAACTCAAACGGAAGATAACGGTCATCAAGAATTTGTTTGATGTCCGAGAAGTTAATGTCTATCCTTACACTGAATAATGACTATGATTTAAAAATAAAATAGTGTCATATGTATGAGTGATTACAGATGGGTTTGTGGATTGGTGATGGGGTTTACTGAATTCTTACAGATCTGTGACTATAGGTAATTACAACTGTTTCACTAATTGACACACTTTACAGTCCACTAGAGCACGCAGTTAAGTCTTCTCAGCCTGCTCTGTCTTTTAGCAGTCGTCTGGCGACGGCTGCCAATGGTGCATGTTCCCTTTCCTTGGGGTTTCCAAAATGTCCCAGCCTCAGCTATGGCAACTCTCGACTGACTGACTGCTCTGCTTGTGACATCTATGTACAGACTGCACAGATAACACTGTTCCTTTGTTGCTGTTTGCCTTGTAGTTGCCTAGCAACGGATCTACATGCCACAATATTAAATTTGCCTCCTGGATATCCAGTTCACATTGAAATACATAACTTACTTTATGGTACAATGTGGAAGAGACGTGTGAATAAGAATGTATCTTACTTTTTCTGGAATATATTTCGAAGGCCATTAAATGAGTTTCTATTCTCCTTGCAGCCAAAGTCTGCAAGGGATGGAGAAATCTGATGGCTTGTTCCAGTGGATCCTCCACCTAAAGAACACAATGAAATCGATGATACAGTCAAATATGCAGTACAGGATGCTACATATGTACATTTTCAACAATGGTGATGAACTGAGAGATCATAACCACGGTCTGGTCATCTTTACCCTTAAGGAAAAGGGTGCAAAACCTACAAATATAATGATACAAACTCTGTCCCGTATCATTTATTGTATAGAGTGCAACAGGATGCTTAAATATAATATTGTAAACAGTTGGCCTACAAATATCTTTATGACATTTTATGTATTTTCATTTAAAAACAGAATACATTCCCCACCATGAGAAATTCTGGCACCTACTTTTTGTTGTGTGTCTGATGTGCCGGAGCTGTTCAAAACCCACATTTCCGTATTCCGTATTGAGGGGGTGGGTTTCCCCATGCACTTAGACCGGTTACTGGTCCATTGTGCATCCCCCTTTAATTTCTACTGTCTCCATACCCTACCGGTACTGGTGCTTACTATCAGCCTCTTTCTGCCAGCGAGGTTCCAACCTCTTACTGGCAGTGGTATCTAAGAGTTAGTCCCTTTCTGTCAGCGAGGTCGTCCCTCCTCTGGCAGGGGTTCCCAGTCCCTTTCTGCCAGCAAGGTTTCTACCCTCTACTTGGCAGTGGTCTCTAATACTTTAGTCCCTTTCTGTCAGAGAGGCCGCCCCTCCTCTGGCAGTGGTACCTGATACTTCCCCCATCTACCGGAGGAATTGGAAACTAGTTGGGCGGGAAACTTGGTCTAATTTTGCTCAGAGGTCTCCTAGAGACATGAGGTTCTTTTATGTGCCGTAAATCTATGACACGGGACCCACGGCTTAAAGTCCCTCCCGGAGGACTTGTTCCCTGAATTTTTCCGCCCTTAAAAATTCCACGACCTCCGCCGGGTTTTTGAACCCGCGTACCTTGAGTCCTGAGGTGGGAACGTTACCCCTAGACTAAGGAGGCCGCTTAAAAGCCACATAACACAAAACAGGAAAATTCTGTATATCTGCATTATACAGTGCTCTACATTATAGTAATAATGGTCCTGCAGCTTTAACCCCCCCCCCGGGGAAAGTGCCCCTGGGTGGGCCCCAGAGCCAGTCTGCACGCTGTGGAGAACAGATAAACCTTCTGCCCATTTTAGGAATTGAACGAGACAAGAAAAATTTAAAACATTAACAACAAATAAGTGCACAGTGACCTGTTAGAAATGCCCACAGAAAGCGCAACAATTTGGGCTGTGCCCTAGAAATGGTTGAATTAGTTTAAAATGTGGGTAAATAAGTGCATACCCTGGCAAGTTTCTCAGGCACCAGCTCATCCTGCTGTGGAGCATCTGGTTCAGCATCGCCCTGCTGCCGCGATTTGTTATGCTGCTCTCGCTTTTCCTGGGCCTGGGCTGCCTGCTGACGTTCCAGCTCAGCCTTCCGGAGTCGTTTACGCTGTTTGTTACGCAGCTTCTTTAATTCTCCTGGGGCAAGATTTTCTGTAACAAACATAAATTACATTACTTACTATTGTGCACTTTCATACTGGCTTATGGTAACAAAACTTCAGTGATTTCTGTGACTGAAACATAATTTTAAACTGTGTAACTATATGCTGCTATGGTGCATAAAACTTAATACTGTATGCTGCTCTACAAGAGTTTTACTTCCAGGAAAATAATTTTACATGTAACTTACATACTCCCATTTCTTTACATAAAACTAAATCAACCAATTCACACTGAGATACAGGTCAGAGCATGGCGGCCATGTGCTTAATTTGAGGTCTGTAAAGCATATGGGCATCATGCACTGTTCAGCTCTACATTATAGTGCTCTTCATTTGGCCACTGAGACCCCACTGCACCCCGGTAACTTAACCCTATCACTGCGATACTCAACTGAAGTTGAACAGATATCCACAAGCGTGACATTCTACTTCAGTCCACACAAGAAATAATCTTCGCCTTTTGCTGTGGCATCGCTTCATTGACTGGACTATGGAAATGCATTTTTATTGCATTTTTCATTATTTTTACCTTAAATTCAATTACTTTCGGAAAAGAGAAATTAATACACAGTGAAAAAGTTGACAGAGATAAAGTAGTCCCTCTATGCTCTTCATGGTATCCGACCAGAAATGTAATAAAAACAGGCTAGAGAACTTGAAAACACACTGTACCGAAAGAAGAATGACAAACAAAGTAAATTCTGATGATGAACTGACTGTTCTCCATGTGGTCCAGGCTGGGACATATAACAGTTTTGTTTATAAATATAATGCCTGAACACAACACAGCAGCAACCCATGATGATGGAAACAAAGGAAGTCACTGAAATGCTGTATACTGTTTATACACCAGCATTGCTCTGAGATGGCTGATAACCCTTAATGGTGGAGGGGACTTCTCAATGATCTTGTGCAGCGTGCATGCAAAATTATTTTTCGGTGTGAGAGTAGGGGCTTAGAGTAAGCTTCTGGAAAGTCACTTTGAAGAAAATGGGAAGATAACATTAGACATGAACAAACAAAAACAAAACAAACTCCGTGATTTTAGTCCGCAAGCGAACTATACTGACAGAGTGACCGCCGCCTGTTGGCGAAGTTTAGTGCCAACTTTTGTGGATAGAGGGTGTCACGTGGTCAGCACAATGAATCCCCATGGCTGTTAATTTCGGTATTCTAGACCGGAGAGTCGCTATTTCCTTGAAAGAGCTCCTCAATTATCATCATGAGGCTGAGTGGACCCCATTCAAAACCCACTACTTTTCAGAAAAATCTGGTAGTGCCGGGAATCTAACCTGGACCTCTGGATCTGTAGCCCAGAACGCTGGCCACTACACCACAGGGGCTGTCATTAGACATGAACTCTTAAATAATTCTGAACACTTTCTAAATTCAAAACAAATGTTGTAACACTTGCCTACACACATAGCAAGATATGCAGCATACCTGAAAAACGGATTAAGTATCTTAGTTAATGATACTAATGTCTCTACCTGAGAATGGTTCTCTGAATGTCCAAGAATACTAGATACAATTGCGTCTGGATGGCTACCAGCAGTCCTTCTGAAATTAAATGTGGAAGATAAGGGAAAAGGCAACGTTGGTATATAATTTTAAGGGAAGTTCAGAACAGAGCCTACTAATTCTGGAGGCCACTGACTTGTGGAACACTTCTATACATGCAATCATACACCAATCAGTTCACCACACCCAACCTGTTCTGCTTGTGGGCACAACTCCAATTCTGTCATATCAGCAAAAGTATTGACCTAGTTGTGCAATATGATTACGGTTGTTTATAAATGTCCACTTTAATGTCATGCATAAGTGTATACCACACGACATGCATATGAAGTCGACGTGTGGTCTTAAACATGATTAAGCTACTGAGTCTACTCTTTGGTCTTTGCATTGTGTGAATGTGGGAGGCATTCCTAATGCTTCGTAGGTATATGCTGCCTCCATCTTCAAGGTCAAAGTGAGAAGGTTGGGCCAATAGAGACAAGAGACATGTTACCAAATGGCACAAAGATCCATAAGCTATTGGTGTTCACAAGAGATTGCCAATGGTTTCTGGCGTAACCCAGTGGCCATGATAAGGGCCATTTAATAACATTTCCTTGTTCACCATCCTATTGTACTAGACAGTGTACCAGTGAAACCAGTCCCGATCCTTCCCCTTATGGGTCTGTTGGACCATATAAACAGTCACCAACCCTCTCACTTTGACCCTGAAGATAGAGGCAGCAAAACGTCGGCAACACTGCCCACATCCATACGGTGCAAGGTCCAAGTGCTGAATAAACATCAACAATGAACCAATGCGAAAGCCTAAAATCAGAAATGATTAAGATAACTAAGGTAAAAAAATGTCCCTATGCTTAATCAATTAAGCACCAGGCCATGAAGAGGAATGGGAAGGTGGAGATATAGATCCACCATTCTTGATCTGAGCAGGAGGTGTTGGTGAGCGGTCAGCTTCATGGCCTGGATGCTTTACCCCTTGGAAAAGTCCCTTGTTGTCACTGTATAGGAGGCCAGGTGGGCCCCAGAGCTGTCTGAATGCTGTGGAGAAGAGAAAAATTTCTTACCACCATCAGAAACAAACCCTGGCCCTCTAGCCTGTAGCCCATCACTATACTTACTGAGCTATCTCAGCTCACGATAAATAATTGGCACCATGAACAAGTAACAAATCACACAGGTACACACACTGACAACTGAACTACTTATATTTGAATTAACTGACTAGGAAGCAAAATATAGATTTAAGAGGATGTTCGTGCAAGTTGCATGTACAGATGTTTAAGGGCATACCACCCAATTTTTTTGTAACATGATATGTACTTCATTATTTTCTACTTATTATTGTTCTTCAGAAAATGTACTCTGATTTGAGGTTTTCTTGGACATAGCAATTCATATCATGGTATTGAGTTATGACATAATACAGTGTTGTAGATAGGAGAAAACGTTTCAGTGGAATATACTGTCTCTATTTTGAATAATTTTGCCGTTGTTTTGTAGCAGCAAGACACTGGATTACTTAAACTGACAGAGAAAAATATAAATTTCAAGTGTGCATAAACAAAGTGCCCACAAAAATATCCAGACTTGAAAAGGATTAAGTGAATTTAGGATATCACACAACAATGCACTTCATGCATTTATTGGGATAGTGAACAAGAGGTCATGAGGGGCTGCACATGTAGCTAGGATGGAGAGACAAGGAATGCATATGGAAACATGGCAGAAAAATCATTATAGAGAAGTGATCACTTGCAAGCTCAAAAACATGTGAGAAGAACTGAATTATCTCAGGACTGTGCCCATTGAGAAGCTTTGGCAACAACAGCGCTGAAACTTCAGGTTATGCTAGCAGACAGTTATAAATGACCGTGTAACGACAAATCACCTCCAGTCAACTCTATATAACTCTATTTAACAACTTGCATTCTTTTTCAGCATCATAACAAAAAAATTAATGTGATCGATCAAAGAGCTGGTCATCTCTTTTATCTTCATTATGTTTCCCGAATTTATTACCTACGAATTAAGCACATTAAACCTGTATCAAAACCAGTTTTCTATACTAACACCATACATAGTCCCGTGTCGTAACTTTACGGCACGTAAAAGAACCTCATATCCCCAAAGGGGATCACTGAGCCAAATTCCAGGACGTTTCCCGCCCAACAATAGTCTCTAAGGCCTCTGATAGATGGGGGAAGAATTATAGATACCGCTAAGCAAGTGGCCGAACTCGCTTGCTCGGCGGGGCTGATGGTACGCATCATTTATCGGTAGGGTATAGAGACTGGTAGAATATCATAGAGGGAAGCACAATAGATCAAACTGGTCGCGGTGCATGGGGAAACCCACCCTCTCTAAATAACTAACACCATACATATGTGCTTACTCATGAACAAGGACTGAATATAATTTACAATGGCCGTTTGAAAGACATACGATCTACAAACTCTAAGTAACTTTTACAGCACTGCCGTTGTGGTATACACGACACTCCACTACTGCACTCATAAACATATCACACTTTGTTGTTGAATGACAATTTCAAATAAAACTCGCTAAGTCAGTATAGCAATAGACTATATAAGCCGGAAGTCTGAGGAACTGGGTTTCAATTCCTGATATGTGTAAGAGATTTTTTTTCTTTTCCACAGTGTCTAGACTGATTCTGGGACCCACATGATCTCGTAGATAATGTGATCGAGGGGTGAAGATGACCGCTCACCTCCATCTACTGCCAAGGTTAAGAACACACTTCCCCATACAGGTACAAGGCGTTGTGCTTAAGCACAAGGACAACTTTATTCACTATTGTAGTGTCTGAAACATGAGACTGTAGAAATTAGATGCACTAAAGGGGATAGTTCCTCAAGCAGTACCACATGAGAACGCAAATTGGAAATATGTAACAGTAAATGTCAAAAGCCAAGACGCCATTAAAATATTTTAATTTCTTTATATCGAAAAAATACTTCACTTTTAGTAGATCTTTCAATTACTATGTCCCCGATTATTAAACACGCCTATCTTAGTTCTGAACAAACCATAAACAGTGGAGGTATCAGCTACTTTTACCTGTTCCATCTTTTCAGAGCTTAAAAAACCTTCGGAAAGGATTTTTAATGTACTCCGGTTAACGGAAAAGAACCATGTGCTGCAATTATGAAGAAAGCAAATATTCTAAACAAAAAAAAAATGTATAAAGCCCATGGGCATAACTGTTTTCTTCCCGCCTCTGACGACCTTTTGACATGCTACTTCTAAGATTCGCGGTGAGAGCAGCCGACGTTAGCCGTGCTCCAAATGGAAAACGGGCAGGATGTGACGCAATGGAGCTTGTTATTCTAAGCCGTGCCTAGTCAACATCTTCCGTTCCCTGGAGCTGTAGGTCTCAATATCCGGCCGGGGCCGTTGTCAAGCAGTGTCTTACGAACGCCATGGCACGGGAAAGTTGGAGTAAAA